TTAAAGTGGATGGACTGTCTTCAATTGGATGAAAATGAAATTAGTCTTAAACTATACCTAAGTTGACCTGACACACCTAGCTAAACCAACAAAAAAAAAAAAAAATGAAGACATTATTGGAAGGAAGACCTTCGATAATGGCACCATCCTCATCCAAAACTACCTAATTAATTTGCACGAATTAATTATTTAGTTTTGGAGGAAATTGCTAATTAAGTAGCAAAATTAATCGAGGAAAATTAGAAATCAATTGATGCGATAAAAAAGAGACCTTTTGGCGCTTCCAAGAGAGGAACTAAGCCTCGTAATCGGGTTCAATCTTGGTTACCCTATTCCTTGTTGTTGGTGTTCTTTCTTTTGCTCCCATGATTTTCCTTTGCACATTTCCCAATTTCCAAACGGACTTTTAGTGCGAACATGAAAAAGAGAATTGATAGCGGTTGGCTCGGGTCTTGCAAGGGCTAGTTACTCACAAGGCAGTAGACAAAACAACATCTTCTAATAAAAACCAAATTGACAATTTTAAAATTAAAAAGTTTCGACTTTTAAATTTTTAATTATGGAACTGAAGATTTCATTGACATTGATATAAGAGTGAAATGAATAAATAAATTATATTAGTATATTTGTGGGATCTATTTAATTTAGCTATATATTTTACAGTTATAAATTATTAGAAACAACTAAACTAAATAGAGTAAAGGGAGACCTATATATATATAGTTAAAGACACCTAAATGAATGAAACAATATGTAAGGAGATGGGCATTAGAAACATGTTATCTTCTGGTGAGAGCTCCCCTAAGCAAAACCACTTCAAGTGTTCAAGGAATATATACACAACCCCAACCAGCAGAAGAAACATTATTTTGTGGTCAATCCTTTACACCAATTTAATTAAGGATAAATAAACTTAAGTTTTAAGAGTTTAGTATAGTTATAACTTATAAGTAAAAGACAAACTTTATTTTGTCTATATTGTTACTTTATTTTCAAAGCCTTTCTACTTATAAATTTGTAATCTTTTGGAATCCACAGTTGATTTCCCATTACTCTGTTCATACTTCATAATTAATTTGTATATTTATTAGAAAAATGAATGCAATTGCCCTATTCCAAATTAACAATGAAAATAAAAACCGTAGGCCATGGTTTTACTCTATACTCAAATTCTTCACATTTCTTAGGAATCATGCAAAGATGGACAACAGGGTAATGAAGCCCAACAGATGAAAGTTCACATTTCCCAGTTGATTATTGGACTTCGACGGCGGCCTTTGGGTCGTTTAAAAAAAATGAAGCTCATTTTACTTCATGAGAAATCTCGGGCTTCTGAACAACAAGCCTACAATTCAGGGACGGAGCTAGGGGGGATTTTAAAATTTTTTTTTTTTTTTTT